CACTGATGCCAATGGTTTGTGGTGGATGTTGGAGTGGCATTATACAGCAAAGAGACGTGTTCTCTGCTCCCCCGAGTTGGTTGTTTTGATCAGTCTAGAAAAAGATGCTAGAATGCTAGAAAAACTTGTACTGCCTGCATGCTTGTTTTCCAGAATTCATAGCAGTTGGTGTTGTCTCAGAGACAAAGGCATTGTGTCATCTGGCTTTTGCTTTGATTTCTCAGAGAMKGCCAGAGSTTACCCGGTGGCTTTTCAGGAAGTTTTACTCTGTTTTGGCAAGGGGAATAAAAGGACKRGAGCCAAGAAAWKTGATAAATTAATTTATATGTCATTTCACAGCCTAGTCATTTCACAGCAGTGTTTGCTTCACTTCAACAAATCCTGTATCAAAGGAGGACGAGGCGTTACCGAAGGCTTTTGGGCTCTGTGAATATGCATTGCAGGCACTGTGAGCCAAACAACTGTGTCTCAGAGCTAGGGCCCGGTCTCGGGTGCTCCCAACTCATACTTACCTGGCAGGGGAGATACCATGATCAAGAAGGTGGTTCACCCAGGGCGAGGCCCAGCCATTGCACTTCAGTTGTGCTGACTCCTGCGAATTCCCCAAATGTGGGAATCTTGACTGCATAATTTCTGGTAGTGGGGGACTGCGTCCGCGCTCTCCCCTGATCATTATGTTCAATTACAAGAAATGCTGGCAAACATTTGTAGTTCTAGTTTTTACTGCGTGTTTTGTACTCCCAAAGCCACGCATTCACTGATGCCACTGGCTTGTGGTGGATGTTGGAGTGGCATTATACAGCAAAGACTGGCAGCTGATAGTGCACTATGACTACTACAAGAACGCTTGATATACAATATGTCTCGTCAGACACTCGACCATTACTGACAATAACTCCTTAATTCATTTACCTTCCATCACATTACAAACTTTTTACTGTAACCAATGCTGCAATTACTCTACTGTTTTTCTGATGTTCTCCATTGCACGTAGCATCTATTGCACTTCTGTCCATCCTAGGAGAGGGATCCCTCATATGTGGCTCTCTCTGAGGTTTCTAAGTTTTGTTTTCCCCTGTCAGGTTTTTTTGTTTGTCCTTACTCTTGTTGAGGGTTAAGGGCAAAGGATCGGTAGCTTGTTAAAGCACTATGAGACAAATTGTGATTTGTGAATATGGGCTATACAAAGAAAATTTGATTGATTGATTGATGACATAATAAGTAGTGGAAGATTGAAAGCATCTTAGGATTCTGGCTCTGGGGTGATGCTTGAAAGGCTGCTTGAATAGTGGCCACAGTAGCAACAGCGGTAAAAGAAAGTAAAGCCTTCAGGAGTGAAGTGATAACCTAAAAAAACATCCAAAACATTAAGTTGTGTGTTTAATGTATATATATTAATGTATAGGTTTAACTTTATTTAATGAAATCCCAAGCACAATGTGTTTAGTTTTTATTCCTACCTTTTAGAGAGAACCTACTCTATCTCCATTGCTGCTCCTCATTCGTAGTATTTTCGGTTACTAAGCAACCAATTGCAGAGTAGATAATCTGCTTCCTGTCTACACTGACCTGGTGTGTGTTACTGGTCACATGGCTTGCGTTTCTAGAGTCACATTGAATCTAAAAAGGTTTTAGTACTTTGCTGATGTATCTGTGCAGATATATTTAAATTTAACTTCACTGGACACCGTCAGATAAAGGTGAGTTAAATGTGGTTAAAGTTTCAAAGTAAAAATATTAATTTGACCCATTATTATATTACGCTATATGACATCATTATACCATTTATTCTGAAGTAGTGATGTAAGTAGGAGGTGGAGCTAGAGCAAAATACATACAGTTTCATATACAAGGACATTAGATATATTGTGACAGCTTGTTTCTCTCTTTGATTTGAGGTACTGGATCATTAAAGCATTTGAAAACTTCAGAGGGAAAAAGCTTTTAACAACTCAAACATTTGAAAAAACTCAAATGCTTAATCAGGAGTGAAAAATGTTCAAAACCACTGGTTCAGTCTTTAACAACTTCTTATCTATTCTTCAAAATCTTAATTTAACTAAAGCTGTCAAATAAATGTAATGTAAATGTAAAGAGTATAAAATGTATCTCTGAAATGTGTCAGAGTAGAAGTATGAAGTAGCATAAAGTGGAAACACTAAAGTACAAGTACTTTCATGTTGTGGAAAAGAAAAAAAAATATGTGAGATTTACTGTATTTGTGAACCCTTTTATTTTATTATGGCCTTACTGAAATTTCTGCTTAGCTCTAGGTTTTTTTCTCCATCCTGTGCATCAAAAGCCTAGCTGAATGTCAACTTTCCTAGCAAAGGAGGATATGTCCGAGATTTCATTTTTGTATCCTGATCCTAATCCTCCCTGTGTTATATTTGGTGTGTGTGAGTGCGATGGATGTTGGGGTTGTCCTTAGGAGGACAGAAAACAGGTCTCCAATGTAATGTGGAATGTAAAATTTTTAGTTTATGGTAGGTTAAAATTGGTTTAAACTTGGTGAGGGTATGGAAAGTAGTAGTTATTGTTAGAGTAAGTCTCCAGGAAATAAATGAAAGTGTGTGTGTGTCTGTATGTGTGTGCATGAGCTAGAAGTAATTTGAAGGTCTGTTATAATTTCACATCACATGCAGATTAAATGTTACCTGTCAATAAATATTGGCATTGTGTAAGATGGTGTCACATATTAATGTAGATATGTTAACCCCCTCCCACACACACACACACACACACACACACATACACCACCCCCACCCAGCTCTCTCTTATTAAGCTGCAGTGCAACAGCTGGCATCCTCTCTGAACATACTCACACACTGAGTGGTTGGTGGTTTTTGAAGCTGCATTATCCTCTTACACACCACACAGCTTCCAACTCTTTGTAGTTGCTGTTTGTTTGGATTTACCTCCGTGGTCCTTTTTGGTACAACAGATAGTAACAGAAGTCTGCAGGCTCTGCGGTGTATAAGGTAAAACATATGACACTGGGCAATGCTTTTATTTTCTGTGAGAATCTGTAACAGAAGTTTGTCTGATGTGGGAATATCAACCATCATGTAGATATTTTTAACACTAGCAAACAGTGTATAGGCTAAGCTGGGAAATAGTATATGTGCTATTTGTTGAATTTGAAGTATGCTTTTACAATATGAATCATATTATAGTAAAGTAATAGTCATCTTTGGTTAATTTAAGTTTTTTTTTTCTTTTAACCTCCTTTCTTACAGAAATGAAGCTCAATATTAATGTTAACTCTACAACTAATTTATTACAGGAACAAGAAAAATGGGGAAATATTTTCAATGAAAGCAAAGCTTAAATGGTCATACTGACCATAACAGCTCACTAAAAACATATTTCATTTGTTATCCTACAGTATAGTGAATGTAGGAAATAATACCCAAAAAAAGTACGATGGATTTTTTTCATGGTCCTGTTGAGGCACATGCAGCATTTAATGTTAGGGGAAATGGTGGACTTGGTTAAATATTGAAAACTTCATCACTGACTGCATATTGGGATTTGGTGTTCTAATAAAACTGTGCAAAAATGTGTTCTAGAATTTCCCTGAAGCTAATATCAAATCAATTCTGATGGAAAACCTGTTTTAGGATAGAAATGCTGACTTCCTGTGATTACATTTTACAGAATTGAATAAAGAACCATGGCTTGATGTTACCATTATAGATCTGTTTTGACTGGCCTACCACAAGCATAGGGAGAATTGGACAACAGCTTGAAAAACACATGCTAGTGACTCTAGCTGACTCATTACACACTGTATGTTTGTTGTGATTGTTGAAATTGTATTTAAAATACTAATAAGGCTTATGGCTGTTGCAGTTTTTGTATCTATCTAGAACCTTGGCACAGTGTTTTCTGTAAGCCCCAGATGTAAATGAAGATGTGATATAAAGCAGGCTTAGGTCTTTGCATGGGCAGGATTGTTGCAGACAATCTGTGATGAAAAGCCTATCAGAATTACAACAATTCAAACAGATGAAGATACACCATAAAACATATACCATCATAGGGTGAGCTGTATGTATACAATATAAAGAATGTGTTTTCACACAGCAAAGAAGTGCGAACAATACATGTTCTACATTGTGAGGAGTGATGAGTGAGAAAAACTCAACAGAGCCTCTTCAGGCTTTGGGTTCAACATTGTATCTAATCACCAACAAAGATTAAAGATTGACCCTTGGAATGCAGCATAATCTGATCTGCAGTGCTGACATGAAATCCTTTGTCATGCTTAACATTAAAGGAGCAGGACAGGCAGTGTAAGGAATCAGGTCGGTTCTATTTAGTGAATGAGCCAACAAATGTTAGTCCAGACTGTGACAGAGAATACAGAAAATTCATCACTTGAACATCACAAAATGAATTTGACTACACAGGGGCATTCATATTATTATTGGCTGCATGCACAGTAAAACATTTATAAATGTTTGAATCTTTAATTAGTGATCACATGCAGGAGAAATGTATAGCTAAAGAGCCAGGACTTTTCCTCAGACCTAAACAAGGGTTAAAAGAAAGTAAATATTGGATGTGCTGCCTAATTAATAACACGATGTATGCTGTGTTGTTAAAAACGCCATGAAAAACAGATGTCAGTGCTATTTTTCATTTTTACATGTGTTCGGTAAAAACATGAAGCCATAGAGGGAACTGTTGTGGATATTGGTCGGCATTGACAGCAGATAGGAGTTATGCCCCCATGCTAGAATTAACAGTAACCCCTACACTAGACCTACGCCTACGTTTGATCTCCCCCGAGGGGAGGCTAGGGTTACAGTTATTTTATTAGAGTTATTATTGTCTGTCATTGTGTACAATATTGTAGGTACAGAAGTATGGTTTTTATTCATTGATGTGTGTATAAAATAAATGTGGTCAAGAGCCTGTTAAAGTACATGCATGGATTCATACAGATACAGAAATGTACGGCTATGTGTGTGAATGTGTGTGCGTTGGCAGTGATGAATGAACAGGCACTAGTGCATGTCCCAGCATCATCATGCCAGGGCCCAGGTCACCAGACGGCCCTGCATCGAGCTGCCATGGTGGGGAACAGTGATGCCATGACTGCTCTGATTCAGGGAGGCTGTGCTTTGGACCTGCAGAACAGAGTGAGTGGTGGACACAGTCAGCATTTCAAAACTCATTCATACACCAATAGCACAATTTGTAATCGGAGCAATGTGTCCAATATGTGTTTGAGGACGGCAACACTGCACTGCATGAGGTGTCGTGGCATGGTTTCTCTCAGTGCGTCAAACTGCTGGTTAAAGCAGGAGCTGATGTGCACATCAAGAACAAGGTAGGATGATTACA